TTAATTTTCTTTTTTTTTTTTGTGGGGGGGGGGGTCTGGAGCCGGGGTTGGGGGTGCCCACCCCCGGACCCCCGCCGGGGCCCCGGGGCCGGGGCTCGACAACCCTGGGTTTACCCATCCTGGTGGTATGGAGATAAGAACATCATTCAGATTCTCTCGCAATTTTTGGGTACTCTTCATCTCATTCCGAAGGTCTCTTGCCGTCTTCCAACGTTGTTTGTCATCTGACCATAAATGTCTCACCTGTCAGACTCCATGTTCCACCCATGTTCCGCATTTTGAATCTCTTGCTGTCAGGGTACGTGGCTTCCCTTGGTGATCCTTAATCCAAGGATTGCAGAAAAGTGGTTGACGAAGAACCTCCTCTCTGTTCCTAGGTTCTCTTACTGTTGCTGGGAAAATGTCCCCCCAAAGCTTAAGGAGTTGTGCCCAATAAGAGCCATCGCTCTTGTCAGTTGTCCCGGGCGTCCGTTCGCCTTGGCTCCTACTTTTCCTTGCCCAGCCTTTGCTCATCACCCAAAACAGCCCTGACATGTTGGCCGGTATTGTGTACTTAACCAATCTTCTGATGTGTTCTAATGCGAGAGAAGCCCAAGGTAGCTGAGGATGGGTGATAAGCTTCAAAACCCACTTTGTTTGTAACGCCTTCATCTGCTGGCCCGGGTCTAATATGCCCAATCCCCCTTGCTCTTTTGGCTTGATTACATGTTTCCAGGCCCCCTTAGATATGACCTTTTGTTTACTTGGGTTTGCTGACCAAAGGAAAGCTGCTGACCTTCTTCTTAACTCACAAATAGACCGATCTGGCGGTGTCCAAATTGAGCCTACATACCACAACATCGAAAAAATGGAGGCATTTAGGATTAACGCTCTTCCAAACAAGGAAGTATAAATTGTTGCCCAAGTACTTAGTTTCATCAGAATTTTGGCTAAGATCTCTGGAGCCATTGAGTGGTGAGGTCCTGCTTCTGCTAAACTAATTCCCAAATAACGTAGTGGTTCCTCTACTGCTGCCCACTGCATTCCTTCCGAGGTATTAATCGGTCTCTGCTCCTCTCCTTCCTCCATAGTGCAACCACCATCCTATAGTCTTGGGCCAATTTATACTCATTTCGGATGCCAGTTGGAAGGCAAGCATTGCTCGAGTGAGAGCCTTAAAAGATGAGCTCAAGGCACAAATAAGCACCATCAGGTCATCAGCAAAAAGGAGCGTCGTCGGCAAGTGAACCAGTCTACCCTGCTGATCCGGTTCAGCTAAGAAACGTTGGATGGAGGGATCCTTTCTTAGAAATGATGCTACTGCTTCCATTATGAACAAAAAGATGGGGGCTGCTAAGGGGTCCCCCTGTCTGACCGATCTCGACATCCTATAGCTCTGCGACAGGTGACCGTTCACCTGGACCTGCTCGTGTGCATCATTGTATAAGACTCGTACCCATTTCCTGAAATTAGGTTTGACCCCCATTCTTTCCATGCACTGTTGGAGGAGACCAATTCACCTAGTCATATGCCTTCTCAAAATCGAAGAACAATATTGCCGCATTCATTCTTTTATCCTTAGTGTAGTGAACTGATTCCGACAAAGTCATAACATTGTCTAGTATAAACCTGTCTGGGATAAAACCAGTCTGATCCAAATGAAAACAACCCCTTGTAACCTTACTCAGTCTTTTAGCCAAAGCCTTCGCTACTATCTTGTGTGTGAGTGTCAACAAGGTCATGGGTCAGTAATTCCTTATATCTAAAGGATCCCCTTTTTTGTACAATAACGTGACAATTCCTGTGGCCGGATCCTGGCCTAGCCCCTTTGCCTGCTAGGCATGTTCTAGGTATGCCATATATTCGCTCCCTAGGATTGGCCAGTATTCAAGTCAGAATTCTCTGGTCAATCCATCTTTCCCTGGGGTCTTATTAGGTGACATTGACTTGAGTGCTTCCCACAGCTCTTCCTGAGTGATTGGGGCTTCTAGCATCATTGCTTGTGCACTTGGCACTGACCTTTCTAGGTGGGCTAAGAACTTTGATCTAGCTTCTTTCACCTGTTGTTGCGAATGGTCTGAATCCCTAGAAGTATATAAAGTGCTATAGAATTGTTCAGCCACTGCCACCATCTCCTCCGACTTTGATACCTGCCCTTCCGATGTTTGAAGTCGTTCTATTACTGAGCTTCTACCTTTTGACCGGTTTTTTTGAAAGTAGTATTTAGTCATTCTTTCTCCTTCCTCCCATTCCTTAACTCTTGCCCTCATTTGTAGCCCCCTCATCCTCCAACGCTCCCATGCTTTCAGTTCCTCTCTTGCTGCATGCCAAATTCTTTCATACAAGTATGCACCTGGATTCTTAACCAAGTTACTATCTGCTCTTCACAATGCTTGCTGAAGCTCAGCTTCTCGTGCTTTCCTTTTAGCCGCTAGCTGCCTAGCCACTACCGCCGAAGCTCGACTCATTGCATCCAGGAGTTCCGGGAAGGATTGATTACCCGAGTCATACTGAGGTAAGACTGCAAAATGGCCTGCCTCATTTCATGTGTTTGAAGAGTCAAATTATTTTACCTTATAGAATCCTTGGTCTCTCCTGACTTGCTTATCTGTAGACAAATAGAGAAAAATAGGCTTATGGTCCAAACCACTAAAATCAGGAAGGTCGCCTACACCCACTGATTGGATCATTCCTATGACTGTCTGTGAGATCAAGAAGTAATCTATTCTCGATGCCGAGACATGTTGACTCCTATTCCTCTTATAGTAGGTAAACTGTCTGTCCTTCGGATAGTACAATTTGTATGGATCAATCAAATCAAAAGCAATCATCATGTTATGAACTGGAAGTGCCTCTTCTCCTAACGTGCTCCCACCCGTCCTATGTCCCCCTGACATTCTATCCCGGGCTGGTTCCAATGCGGCATTCCAATCCCCTGCTAATATAATATGCCTGGTGGGTTCTATTAAGGCTTCCAATTCCTCTAAAAGTTGTATTCTTGGTTGGAATGTGTTGGGTCCATAGATAGATACGAGAGTGAAGCTTCTTCATGGAAAAAAAGTTCAACTTCACCCATCTACCTTCTATGTAATCCACCGTCACTTCTTCTATCTTTAGATTCTTCGTTGAGAGGGCCCTCTTATTGTGAAGAATCGCCACCCCCGCCGAATGTGGGTGTGGTGTCGGTGCCCAAAAGTCTGTTGTCACCAATCTCAATCTTTGTAAAATCTTAATCTTGACTTGCTCATGTTCTTCTGAAGTGGTCAAGTGAGTTTCTTGTAAACACACGAAGTCTGGTGGACTCTTGTCAAACCATCCTAAATACTAGACGAAGTTGTCCACTTGTCCGGGTTGTCTAAAATCTGCGCCAACCCGTTTATATTCCTGGAGACTATTCTGAATTCAGACTCCTTCCTTGATTGTGCCTGAACTTTCTTCTACGCTTCCCCTGTTGGCCTCCTTCACTGCCCTACATTGCGAATGGTCATCCCCTGTTCGCCCTTCACTCATTGAGAAGTGTTCAAGACCCTGTCTGTGAAAGATCCAACCTTGTTGCTCCCCTTGAGATCCTCTTCTCAATGTATTCAGGCTTCCACAAAGAGGCATCAGTTTTTACTACTAACGCTGCACTTGTGGCCACCCATTCCGCCGTCACCAACCCCCCTAACAATCCATAGGGAATGGTCTCCACCACCTGCCATGGCATCCATATGAGGCCATCACTTAATTTCGTCGTTTCCTTCAGTTTGAACATTATTGGCCTGTAATCTTCTGCCTGTGATGTGCCTGTTGTGTCTGTACTGTCCCCCTTTTCCTGCTTCCAATCACCTATTACATATGCGTGGGCTGACAGATCTTCTGAGATCCTACCCTTTAGGGCCTGACCTGAGCAATTGGCTTCATCCATCGTGACCAGCTCCAATGAGCGATGGATTGCCACCTCCCACTCTTTGTGGACTTCATTCCACTTGAAGGGGATGATTACCCTGCATCTGGGTGAGTTTCTGGCATAAAGTCTCGCCGCTGCTTCAATTTCCTTATGTGGCACGTAAGCTATCTTTTCCGAATTCGTTGTATCTTCCCCCAACTCCCGATTATGATCTTTGAGGACATTAACCTGAACCTCCAATATCGCTGCTTGTCTGCGTGCATCCTCCATTAGCTCTTCATCTCCTCCTTCGTCTTTTGTTGATGCATAACTCGCCTTCCGCTTGCTCTCAGATCTCTTCATTGCTTTTGGTAGGTAAGTCTTTGGCCATTCAAACTGCTTACTGTAGACCTCATTTCGCACTTGAATGTCATTGTTGTGGTGTTCAGCTTTCCACCCATATTGCTCCGCATAAAACTCATTTATCTCTTTCTCCTTTTTCAATATCTCAAAGCGATTTGTGGTAGTGATGCCTTTCGTTGCTCCCGTGGCCTCCTTCAAGTTGCGCAAGTGCTTATGGTGTGCCAGGGGAACCTCACATGCCACCGCCCTCTCCCATTCCAGCGCCTGCACGCAGTTGACCCATATTTCTAATGTCTCAGGTTCTTCCTCCTCTTCATCCTCCACATCCTCCCATCCACCCTCGCTTGAACTCTCCTCCGACTCCTCTCCCTGCTCTCCCTCCCCCCCTTCTCCTTCTCTTGTGGGTCTCATAGCGGAGCTGGCCGATTTCCCTTCGGAAAATTCCCTCTCGTTATTTGTGCCCACCTCCTCTTGGTCTGTTGCTTCTTCCATTTCTTGCTCTTTTGATGGATTTAGCCCACCATCCTCTTGCCGTGAAGTTTCCATTTGTTCCCCCAATGGGCTTGAAACCCCTATCCCGCCCTGTTCTGTCTCCATCTCATGATCCTGCCGCCCCAGTGTCTGCTGGGAATCCCTTGTGACCTTGAATCCTCTAGATTGAACCCTTTTGGTTCCCAGTTCCCCTTGCTTACTCTGTTCTGACTCACTTGATTCTCCTGCCCTAGCTTTCCTTTTGAGTGAGGTGGTCGTGTTGCTCTGTTTAGTTGATCCTCCCTGTCCTTCCCCACATTCTCCTCCATCAGTCCTGTTCTTCTGGTCATGATTCAGTGTTTCACTTTGTGCTTCCTCCCTTACTTTTGAGTTTTCCAAATATGCTGCCTCTGTTGTCCTCCCAATCTGATTGAGCTCTTCCATTGTTCTCAATCTTTGCTTATCATCCAACAACATGGTTTCGTCAATCATCGGCTTCATCAGATAGCCCATATCTTTATCTTCCATTTTTTTGACTCCCTTTTGCCTCCATCTGCTATCATACGGGGGATAGATATCAGGCTTTAATGTCGGTGTCCCCTGTAGCACCCACACCGACCTGGGGGACTCCAAGTTATCGTAAAAATCCATCCCAAGTACTGTGCTGCATTTATGTACCATATCACCGACTTGTTGTCCGATTCTTCCAGCATTGATTGTCGCAACTGGATTGGTTTACTCCCCGCCCCCGACTGTGGACAGTGCATGCCCATATGCCCTCTTCCACGACACTTAAAGCATACGGGATTGGTCTTTGTTGAGACAAAAATCATGATCCTTTGCCCATTTTTGCGAAAAATCCAAACCTCCGGAAACTTGGATGGTGCTCCTGAACTCACCTCTAGGCAGGCCACCCTTGAATCATGATTAGGCGCCAGGAAGTCTGGATTTGCCGGCAGCCAATTGATGATCGCATTGTTTGGGTATTCCTCTGACAATCTCTTCTGCACAAAACTATGCATACCTTCCGAGAGATTATCAACTTGGACCAAAAAATGCTCCTTCATCATTTTTTGTCTGTGTTGAGAAGCTTCCGCTTGCGGGGGTCTTGGGGGTTTCCATGTCTGAATTGTAACCACCGTTCCCTGGCATTTCAGCGACCCCAAAGATAGGAGATATTGAGCATAGGAAGGGTCTACACATATAATCATCACAGTGAACTTCCCCCTCTTGTGATATGATACCTCTGGTTCTACCCCCGGAATACTCTCCAATCCTCTTAAACGTTCCATCACCCATCTCCTTTTCTCATTCAATGGTAGATCCCTGCTTTTACTTGCAAAATTAAACAGCACTGCATGCCTCTCGTATAGCTCATGCAATGAAGGAATGTCTTGCTCCGGATACTCCCACACACATCCACTTCTTCTTCCTTACCATCCTGACTCTTATGAGTTTCCTTCGTAATCTTGATTGGCGCTGTTGTTTTGGTTTTCTCCATCAAAAAGTCAATGGCCCGCTGTCCTAGCGCCCTGGGTTGACCCGAATCCCTCCCCGAGATTGAGGTGTCTTGTGAGGCCATGCTCTCTCTTGCTTCCCGTGCTGCTTTAGCAGCCATCCTCTTGTCTCCCTTTGTCATTCCCCTCTGAGTTGCTTGCATATAAGAGTACGCCATTGAACCCTACACCATGATTCCCCTCTCCTTGACTTACTTATTCTCCTCTCCATGCTGACGTGTTCACCAAGTGCCGCTTCTGTTTCCCTTAGCCCTGATGGAAAACTCGTAACATTACTTTCCCCTTCTTGTAGTAGTTCGGCTCCCTGTGCAAACCCCTTCCCTGATCTTGTTGTCTTGTCGCCTCTGACACTTCTTTTCGTCGATTCTATCCTACCTACCTCCTTTTTGCCCTTTGCCCTCTATTGTTGCTACCTCCACCGCTCCACTACCTTTTCTCTTCTCTCTGTCCCCCGATGACTTACTCATATCCTTACCTGTTCTGCCCTCTGCTATGTCCACTTATTTTCCACACTCCTTCCCCGATTCCCCTGACGCATTCGTCTCCCCCCACTGATGTACCCTTCTCTCCGCACTACCCCTCACGGCGCAGTCGCATACACACTCCTTCCCCGATTCCGCCGACGCATTCATCTCCCCCCGCTAACGTGTCCATCTCCCCACTCTTTCCCTCTATCCGCTGACTTGTCTTTCTCCCCACTTCTTCCCTCGCCACGCTGACGTGCCTTTCTCCACCCTCCTGACTTGTCTTTCTCCGCACTCTTTCCCTCGACCCACTGACTTGTCCTTCCCCCCACTCCGACCCTCTGACGTGTCCTTCTCCACCTTCCTTCCCACTACCCGCTGACGTGTCCGTCCCCGCCCTTCACCTGTGGACTCGAAGACTTCTCACTCGGGTGCAAAACCTCCGCGCACGGGCGCGGAACCTCCGCGCGCGGTCACTGAAGCAATCGCCCCGCGACCAAAATAACTCTTTCCCTCGACCCTTTGACTTGTCTTCCTCCCCACTCCTTCCCACAACCCGCTGACGTGTCCTTCTCCACCCTCCTTCCCACGACCCTCTTCTCCAAACTCTTTCCCTCAATCTGCTGACGTGTCCCTCTCCCCACTCCTTCCTACTACCTGTTGTCGTGACTGCTGAAGTGTCCTTCTCCACCCTCCTTCCAAAACTCCGCGCTCGGCTTCAAAACTTCAAAACTTCCGCGTACAGGCGTGGAATCTCCGCGCGCGGTCGCTGAAGCAATCACCCCCGCCCTCGACCCTCTTACTTGTCTTTCTCCCCACTCCTTCCCACCACCCACTGACGTGTCCTTCTCCACCCTCCTTCCCACGACCCTCCCCCTGCTGACTTGTCCTTCTCCAAACTTTTCTCCTCGATCCGCTGACCTTGTTGGCACTGTGATTGATCAACAGCACGATAGTGGCGCCCTTCGGTGCGCTCCCGGCAATATGTCACTATAGCATCCGTTTTTGAAGCACTTTTCTTCTCCGATTTAACTACGCAAAAAAAAAGACAAACACGAAATGCAGTTTTGTCACAGCAGTAGTTTGGAATGCGCAGGAAAAGCAAAATAGGGGTATTTTCTTTTGTTTTTCTTTTGTTTTTTTTGTGGTTTTTGCCTGGTCACCCCCCTCGCATGGGCAAGAAAGCAGCCCATTTTGGGCATGGGCGCTGGAACGCTGGACCCATTTTCCAGCAGGTTTTTTTTTTCATCAGCTCATTGACTTTTTCTCTGCCAAAGCCGGGTAATGGCCCTGGTACTAGAATGTTCTTAATGGTTATCATAAGGGACACTGAGTCGTCGATATATAGTGTCAGCAGCACAGTACCAGGGGAAGGCCCCTGTATTCGACACTTCGAAAACGTTCGGATCAGTCATAAACCCGACAAGTACCTCAATCAGCCCGGTTACATCCACAAGCTCCGACACAGGAAGAGAGAGAGAGAGAGAGAGAGAGAGAGAGAGAGAGAGAGAGAGAGAGAGAGAGAGAGAGAGAGAGAGAGAGAGAGAGAGGAGGAAGAACGAGAGACGACACAATGGTAACGCTGAATAGCTTTCACTCGAATGATATGAAAAAAATGTGGACATAGAAGCGCCGACATTTTCTGGCACTACTCAGATAAGGAGGCCACAACCAAGAAGCCCGACATTTTCCCCCCGACCGACAGCAGATGGCAAAAGAAGGCAACAGGGAAAGAAGCAGGCAATCCTACGAAGATCAATGCTATCCCCCTGAATGACTCCCGCATCATTAGGGAGGAGAAAGCAAGGGAGGATCTGCTCTAGGATCTAGACTTAGTAAGAGAACAAGCGTACAACAAAGAACCTGAAATTTTTCAAAAGCGAACTCAGGAAATATTTGAGCTCAAAGAGAAGGCAAATAAAACTTTGATTGAGCAAAAAACGTCCAATCTGCAGTATGAAAACAAGCGAACCCTAGACAACAGCCCGACCAGAATGAGAGGACAAGTTGATTCAAATAGGAGGAAGGCAAACATTGATGAAGGCGGTAATGCCAACCCACAAAACCATGCAACGGAAGAGCCAGTTCAAGACTCCGACTCGGCCATGGACGAACAGGACAGCGATGACAACAAAAGTTTGTGAGGCGCAGCCCCTATCAGCGACCAGACCTCCCCTCCCAACAGGTCTCTTCAATGGCTTCGTGAGTACATTGAAAAGGCAAAAAGGCAGAGGGAACACCTCTTCAACATCCGAACAACGTGCCTAAAACACATAGAAAGGAATATGATACAAGGCACAATCGGTGGGATCCAAGCATCCTCCAACAAATATGAGTTGTTGGAAGAAGAAGAAGAATTCGTTGAATACGTTGCATTCAGGTACGCAGAGAAGAAGAGAGTCATAGAACATGGTCATCTGGGCACAAAAGAGAAAAACACGGATCCTGACGAACCTTTCCAAGATCTTTGCCCGAAGAAATGGAGAGTTGCCAAAGCACAAAAGAAACATGAAGTCAACCCCGGTCAGACAGAAAATGGTAAGAAAACAGAACGTGCTGACCTCGAGCTGGATCTCGCAGTCATTGAGGCCCAAGCAGAAAAACTGAAGAAGCTCAACGCGGCATACACGCCGGAATTCACATCCCTGCAGCACAGAGCAGAGGGTAAAGCCCCACACGTACTTCAACAAGCCAGATCGGTCAGACTTACTATGATGGGACTGCGGCCTCTGTTAGCCGCTCGGTATGTAGAGGGAACCGGCGAATGGCAAGTATCCACGGAGGTGTCATTTGCAATCCCTCTATTTGAAGAGGGTCAGAATCCGACGTCGATAATCCGGGAGAAAATTATTGACACTTGTCCGTTGGGCGTGTATGAGAACAAAGGCTCAGCGGAATTTTGTGGGGGGCAAGAGAAGGTTGCGCTTCATGAAGATAAGCGAGAGTCCCTTACTGACCCAACAGTCTCCAGACAAAGCTCATTCACCCCCCTGATCGCCAAGATGCCAGAGGAAACAAGACTAAAGAGAGGCATGATGTGGAGATCACGAAACACAATGACTGCAATTCCCTCCAGTGTATTGTTAAGACTGGGAATCCCGGTGGAGCTATCAGTAGCCTCATTGTCGGAGTCGACACATTGAACGACGATGCAGACCTGGAGGCCAGAGCATATGCCATGGATCTGGATTGCTTCTACAAGGATGACTTCCAGGAGGAGGACATGGAGGACTGGGCTGGCGACGAGCGCACAGACCAGGACCTCTTGGGTTCCCCTGGATATCAGGCCAGTAACAGCATAGGAGAATATAAGATCGAGGATCTCGGGACGGGAACCAAAGTGGACCCACCCGAGACAGACCGAATGCCTCAATCTCCCCGGACACGGGAACCTCCTGAATTGATTAAGCTGCTTGTCCAAATACCATAGGGCCTCAACATGGAGGGGCTTAGGAATAAAGCAAATCAACAGGCCCCCAAACCCAATTGGAAGACTCAAGGTATCACCATACGCAGCTGGAATGTCAATGGGTTAGGAAACATCCTGAGTAAGGAAAACAAACTAAATGACATAATTAGAGGCCTCAAACAAGAAAACAACAAAATGACAAACATTATA